CGAGTTGTGTTCGCGTCAAATAGGGATCCGAGGAACGAGATGGGATGCTGTGACCAAGGAGCTGTCAGCTATCCATCACAATTCAAATAAGACTCTCACGTTGTTGAATGTATGAAAGGTGGAGTTGGAAGGAAAGGGGCGTGCTTTGCTTTTTTCTTCTTCTTGTTTCTTTGCTGTGCACGTTGGGGGGGATAAGGGACCGCGTCAGCCAGGGGGTAATCATACCTGTTCTAAGTAACGTGGACATAGACTATAGTAGTACAACGATTAAAAAAAAGGACGCTCGATGCCAGAAGAAGGAAACTCGAAACCAGGCGAGTTGGAAGAAACGAAAAGAGGTTAAGGTAAAAAAAAAAGGAGAGATCCCTAGGGATGATGAGACGTCTCTAGAATAGGAGAGCCATGTACAAGAAGAAAAAAAAAACGAGAGAGAGTAAACAGAAAGAACCCCGTAACCTTCAAATGACAATGACACTATAATGTGCCTGTTCACTAAAGTGGGAGAAAAAAGAAGGGAGGATGGAGGAAAGGAAAATAAGAGGGGGGTGGGAGGAGAGATCACGTAGCGGTAGACACGGGGTAGATTAGGTCCGCACTCCAAGAAATTGAATGAAATTGAAATTGAATCAAATTGAATTGAGTTGAATCAAATAGCGAAATAGCATGAAATAGCATGAAATAATAGAGAAAAGAAAACCTGTCATGAACTAATTATGCTTATGCATCTCTCTGCATGATACAGGAGTACAACGTAATCTTTTTATCCTCTACGGAGTACTCCCCCGTATTATTTACTTACAAATCCAGTCTACTTTTTGCCATTACTATTTAGTTACCTATTTACTACTTACTTTTCCTTTGGTTGTCTACTTATTTTTTACTATTTACTTGTATCTACTACCGGTACTTATACCGGGTCACCTCCTGAAGCCGTTCAGAAAAGGGGCCCGACCTCCAAATTTATGTGCCAATCATAGGGCTTCCCCCTTAATGCTCCATCGGATATTCTTAGACATCTCCATAGCATATTCCACTCTAAGCCAAAATATTCCATTCAAATAACTACTTTGTAGAGCTATTCCTGTCCGTATGTACCTTTGAAAATCTCCCTGTCAAACCGAAATCTGACGCAAGGCTTCTGCAAAGAACGTGGGCAAAGGAAGCTACATAGATGTCCGATCGGCCACGTCCCGCGATTTGCGCGTACACTAAGGTATCTATCTCGGCTTTTCGAATCCACATGTGTTTGAAACATCTTAAAAAGTACATACAGTATCGTACTTATTAATCTGTTATACGGACTGTGTCTATAAAGCCTTAATCAGACCATAGAGAACTCCCCAAACCTTGGTAAAAAGTCCGAGCTGTTTCCATGGTTGTGATGGTCCACTAACCTAATCTCCATATCAGTCCACGGCTACCGACGGACCATGGATGTATCGTTTTATATCGTTTTATATCGTTTTCGGAAGTCTGAGACAAAGGTCGCACGTGAGGCTGAATTCTTCTGTACCTATGGCCGGGGAAATTTTGGAACTATTTCCATGATCCTCTTGCTTCATTATACTTTTACGGTTCTAACTTGATCTAAACTTTTAATAAAATGTACGAGGCCTAGAATACTATTTTGAAATGGAAGTTGTTATCATGCTCAGTTCAGCTTATTGATACGGCGCCACTTTGAGAATTGGACCTTTTAGTCCAAGTCGCTCACTTTTTCCTTTTGGATGTGCTTGTGCCTCCGGGCTTATGCACATCCCATTACTTCGTACAGAGTAACAATGGGCTTATATGCAACTTCTTATCTACGTTGTCTATTCATGGGACATCGTACAATGTAAAATCTCCACGTCAAAATTGTCCCGCTTTCCCTCTCCACTTGCTGCAAACCACTCAATCCGTCGATCCACATTCCGCAACATAACTTCCCGTGTGATCGGCACACGGGTGTTTTTGATATGCTCACTTTTTTCCAAATCATACTAGACCATTTATCAACTCCGTACAACCTACAGTGGAGAATACACATATCCGTCTCCATCCAGGTTGACACCGAATTTTCCCGGTCTTGGAATTAGCGTTATTATTATTATTTTTTTTTTAAATTGCACACTGAGGGGAAGGGGGCGCGTCTGATGCCGCAAATCATCGATTAAGCATCCTGACGCCCCCGTTTCATTTACCCCATGGCTCTGTGCACTGAAATCTAATCTCCCATCTCCTATTCAACGGGGAAACCCTCAATACTATGCACGGTGCTCTGTGGCTGATCAGGGGGTAGCAATTCGGCTACAGACTAAGGGTGTCGCGAAATAAATGCGGAGAAGACAAGAAATTCCACTTGTGGAGCTCAATATCGCTTCGGTGATCACTCGAGTCTTTGTTGCTTGCCGATAATATACCGTACGGTGCCTTTTATAGCATCGCGTTCCAAATCCCGAGAATCCACGCTATGGTCTGATGTTGGGTGGGTGGATGCAAACCAGTCCCAGAGAATGACATTCAAAGCTGCTCATTCGTGCGGAGCACAGTTCATGCAATATGTCAGTTACGAAGTATCTCCATTGCCAAGATAACTTACCAAAGGTCCCGTGCTTGCACTACTTGCCTTGGTGCAAGTGCTAAGTTTTAGTATGCATCCGGGGAAGTAGGTGGAACGCATTGGCCATTCGCATTACACAACTGTGTACTGTGGTATTTATGAGCCTCTTAGCCTATCTTGTTCGGATCTCCCCCGGTATGGTGTCAGGCTTTCCAACTTTCACTTGGGGTATAAAATTCTATTTTTGATCTTGATCTCATGGATCTTATCTCATAAATGTTTAGCCAGGATAAATATACTTCGAATCAATAATCTTGGTCATCACCCGAAGCATCCATATCGTCCTCATCGTCAATACCCTCAAAGATCATGAACTTCTCATTCTTGGCATCAGTTTCATCAGGAACAACGTTTCCATCTTGAACCTCGCAGTCCTTCAGCACGGTTTCCCGGCCGATCTTGCTGCGGCGTCCAACAATGGTACCTGTCAATTGACAGCGTTCGCCAACAACAGCACCGTCCATGATCAAACAACGAGTCAACCGAGCACCGCTGGCGATATGGCAATTAGCACCGATGATGGTTTCCTTGATCACACACTTCTCCTCAACCGTCGAGTTATTATCCACTAGACAGTCGTTCCTCGTAACGGTGCAACGCTGGGCGATGCTAGCGGTGTTTGCCACTTTCGAGGCATGCGCGAATGCTGACGAAGCGACTCGCCCAACCTCTTCGATGGACTCCAGCTTAGCAAGACGGAGAGAGGTAGAGAGAAGGATGGCAGATGAATCAACCCGTCGAACAAATGGCGTTGTGCCCTTTTGGACGTAAGCGAGCATCGGTGGTAGATTTAACTTGGGAGTCTCGACAGTTTGCGAGGCGGGAACCTTGACACGAGACGCGAATTGAGGGTCTGATGCAGCTGTGCTGAACTTAGCTGGGGTGGACTTGGTAGTGCTCATGCTCTGTAGATCAATCTCTTCCTCCAGCGATTCACCATCGATGGATTCACCGTCGTGGCTTTCACTCTCACTTAGAGTGAGGCCGTGGCTCTGGCGACGGCTTTTCTGCTGGAAGATTTCGTTGATCTTCAGTTTGTCGCTGAGGCCTTGCTGCCATTCCGATTTGGCCCACCATCCAACCAAGTCTTCACCGACGGATTGGAATTGCTCATTCAGACGAGCCATGTCCTTGACCCAGTAAGGTAGGATGTAGATATGCGCATCACGGTATGTCGTCAGCAACTTTACCTGCGCATGCGTATCCACCAGGGAGTGGCGCACAAGGAAGCCCTTGTCATTTTCCAATTTCTCTTTCAATGTGGCCATGGGCATAGAGAGGACGAGCTTTGAGAGCGAGGAACGAAGCGCGGCATGAGACACGGTAGGAGCCTCACTCTGCTCAAGTGGTGCGACTGCCAAAAAGTCTGTAGCTTCGCCCTTGACACTCTCCTCCCGACCCTGTGTCTGATAGTACATGCTGAGTCCATTTCGACGATTTTTCTCGCCACCAGACACCATCCATGCCTCAAGCAGAGACTCTCCGGGTATTTCGCAAACTAGATCACAAGGCAATAGAAGGAAGTCGGATTTGATGCAAGTCTGCACCTCTGGTAGACGGAGGAGCTCTGCTGTACCAGTCGTCATCTCGAGGTCCGCTGGTGCGATGACTGAGGGCGAGGGAAGTGAGGTAAGATGTGGGTTCTGTCGTAGAGCGGCCTGGAGGGGAGCGAGCGAAGAGGGAGGAGTGACCAAAGTGACATCTAGAATAGTCAGTCTTCCATCCGACGTTTTGCGATAGAGCACATGGCGTCATGGGATGCCCCGCATGCTATTCTGACGGTGGGAATGCGCTTACCAGTGATGCCCATCCTTTTCGACCAGTCTAAGGCGTACCAAAGCATTGGGCGGTTGGCTACAGGAATAAGGCATTTGGGGTATTCCTCGGGGTTCGAAGTGAATGTGTTGAGCGATACACCGGGACCGCACTTAATTGCTTGTTAGCTTTTGCTTCGACACATATGTAGGGAAATTAATTGCTCACGAGAATTAGGGCTTGCAGGCCCGTTGGGGGCACAGGTACTGAGTGAGGCATGTTCTGAACTAACAATGCGCTTGCGAGTTCTCACACCTAGTCATATATTTCTCTTAAAACCGATAAGCCCTGCTTTGGAGGAGTCAAAAAAACCACTTACATAATCTTAGCGGGAAATGGCACGTGATGCCGACCCGCCTCCAGATTTAACAAGACGCAAACAGGACAAACAGAAGTAAACACCCGCGGTAATCACCAGCCACATGTTTCTGGGGTCCGAGGAGAGACGTCTGCCTCCTTTCCCTCGTTCCCCTTTTCCCAACCTCTTATCTTGCAAATCGACGTGTGAAATGCGACCTGCGAGTCATTGCGACCGCGATTAATAGCCGTTAAATGTGCCTCTAATTGGATACCCGCAATCGCAATGTCCTTCCCTCAAGATCCTCGGCGCCGTCGCGGCGGAGCCGGCACTGGTTTCAGCTCAACCGGCGGACGAACCGCCATTGGATACTGGATCCCCTTGGCCTTGACTGCTGGAATTGCAACTATTAGCATTGCAGCCTGGATCTGGAGTGAACGAAATGACGACGAAGATGAAGACGACCGCCCCCACGGAGATGGGCGCCCTTACCCGCCTCCTGTAGGACCTGGAAGTGATTACCCTCCACCTTCCTATGCTACTGGAGATTATTCCCGAAGCGCAGGAGCTGAAATACTGCCTGGAGATGCTTCCTATGATGATAGTATGATGGCTCGCATGCAAGGTGCTTTGCGTCGCACGCCTAGCCCTCAACAGATCTTCGATGGCGCCAGCAAAAGAGTTGTGGCGGGTGTGACTGCTGCAGGAGCCTTTGTCGGTGGCGCTCTCACCTCAATTCGTGAAGATAACAAAGACGAGGGTGACTACGAAGACCACTCCAGATGGTCGGAGGAAGCTCAATCCAGAGCCCACGAGCGAAGCCAACAAGGCGCCGTTGCGCCGACTATGAGTGGTGGATTACCGAGCCGTCCAGCAAATACAGTTAACAGGAACAAGAAGACCGTTGCAATTGTGGTCTCCTCGGTTTCATCGGCTGACCCCGACGGATTTTCTTCTGAACATGCGGTAAGCACTCCTCGCCCTTGATACCCACTGTAGGATTTTCTGACAATTGCAGTCGATTCTATCCCATCTCCCTGAACATGTCGATGTGGAAAACTCCAAGATCTTTGTCTTGATCTATGCCCCAGATTTGAAACACGCCATCAGGAAGGGGGGCTCACCTCCTACCACCCCCTCTATGGCTTCGTCTTATTCAAATATTGGCACCGAAGAAGGAGCTTCTGTCGGGGAATTGGCCTCTGGGGTTTTGACACCGGTCGAACCCCGCCAGGACGATGAACTGGAGGGCACATCTCCCTTCTTCAAAACATTATACACACAGGCACAAGCGCTTGTTGAGAAGGACAGCATGATCATGCCTTTCAGCACCCCTGGTGGCTATGTGCACCTCGCTCGCCACCTATTCCCAGAACTTGTTTATGTCCAAGAGTCCTTGACTGGAGATGTGGGTGAACCCGTCACTCAGCTCACTCGTTGGGTTCGCCAGGTTATCGTCGTGGTCGGAGACGAGGGTGGCCGTGGTGGGCTTATTGACAGTGATGACGAGTCAGCACTTGGCGAAAAGGGTGAGAAGTGGTGGCAAAAGGAGGGTATCACAGGACTCGGCAAGAGCGTTGATGTGGTTGACGTTGTCCGAGTCGGAGATGACTGGCGACGACGTGTGAGTGGTCATGACTAGGTTAGGTCCAAAGGTGACCCCATGATTTTAATGTTGATATTTTTTTTGCTTGTCTATACCTGTCTTTTTTTCAAACCCCCTTATGATTATACTTATATTCTTACAGTAATTCTTACTGTAGTTCCTAGTAGTGTTGTAAAGAGTAGAAATTGAAAGGGTTTGAACAAGCTTGGCTCTTGGCTAGGACCAAGTTGGTGGCTAATAAGATAAAAAACTTGGGTATCAATAAAATATGCTGACCCACTTGACTTGACGTTGGAAGGTTCAGTTCGCACTCGAGAATATTCAAGAAAGGTAGTGCAAAGGGCATAAGGTCGGTTTTGTTTTTTTTCAATTCATCTGATTGAGATTCTGATTCTCCTCGCCTGTAATTCTCGGTTGAATGCGTTCTGGTTGCAACCTAGTAGTGGAATCGTTGTCTTGGATTTTGTTTCCACATGAGCTTAGAACTGAAAGTTGACTGACGGATAGTAAGCTCGCGATGTCTGTTGTACCGCCATTCTTCAGCAAAGTACGAGCATTGGAGTAATCTTGAAGAAATTTCTCAATCTTTTTGCTACGACCACTGGCGTTTAGGATGTTTCAGATGGCTGGATGGACAGCGAGGAACTCAGGGTTCGGCAATGGAAATCGGGTATCATGATTAGTAAAAGTAGTAAAGCTTTCTTAAGGGTAACGCAGAAGGGGAGAGTGGTTTAGAAATTTCGTCAAATGATAGCGATTTGTGACTGTAGAAGGTTCAAGGACAAAACGGAATTTCCCGAAGTCGTTGTGAAAAACGTCAGCGATGGTGATGATGTTATCTTCACGATCAACATCACCAATGAGTAAATTGAGACGCGAACGCAGACTTGGGCAACAGCGAAAAATGTTTGTCCATACTTGAGATAGGGGAGATCATTCATCCGTACGAAAGGCGCCGAGCGAAAAAAGGAGTATGTGAGCAGCAACCAGATCATGGGGAACCCGTCCAGGAGGGCAGAGGGTATTGCGATCCCAAGCTCCTCTCACAGCACACTAAAACCCGTCACGATATAAACAATTGCGGCGTAGTCTCGTTTGATCTGCTCGTGATGCCGATTCGATGTCAAGGGTTTCAAGGTTCTTCGGTTGAAACTTCTAAACGCTCGCTGCATGTTGCCGTATTCCGTGGTCACGTCGGCAATGGGTGAGATCGTCGATCAAGTTACATTGTCCATCTGATGGTAAGTAACTGAAGACAATTTGGAGAAATTGAGGGCTCTCATCGTCCAGTCCTAAGGGTAGATAATTTTCAAGAAGGATATTCAGATATATCTTTCTTTGTACGTTGAAAGATCCGACGAAGTAGAAGGGCTTAAGCTTTCCAGGTCTAACATGTTCAACAAAACAGTGCCATTGGGTGAACTGGGTGGGATAGAGAAACGATAAGAAAAAAAACCGAACACTGAATGGGAAGAAAGGGATGTCTCAGGATGACTGGAGAGGAAAGGGACAGGTTCTAAATAACTAGTTAACTACTCCGTAGTTAACCTGAGGTAACTAGTTAGGTCTTCTGTAACTAAAAGGGAGATGAGGATGGTTGGAGGGGAACAAGAAAAGTGGGCCCAGTTCACAGTCATGTGATATCCAAGTCAAGGTAGTGATAGTAGCTCTCAAAATCAGCTCACTTAGCTCTAACATGTACAGAGCATTAGCTATCACATGGAATATTTAGGCAGTAGAACAAGGGAGCCAGCCAGGCATTGATTCATCTACCTGTATATTCAATCAGTCTCATTGTTGTTGTATCTCGTTATTGTATATATTCAGACTAGTCCTAATTAGGAAGGGATCATGTGACCAACTTCACTTTGAACCACGGCTTGGCATCATCAATTGATCCTCGTCTAGAGGCTTCACCGATTCACCCCTTCCTAGCAGCATTATTGGACAGGTGCTTTCTTTCTTTCTTTCTTTAATCCCACTCGGTTAATACCCGCCGATTTTCCGCATTGATTCCAGCTGTGCTGGGGACCGGTGCCGCCCTGCCTATCCCCACATGTCTCGCTCCTCGGCCATCTCATTCATTTCCCGAGCACGGCTTTCATTCAACATTATCAAATCAGCATTCCGATAAGTCGCATTCTTAACTCACTGGTCACGCCCTGGTTGCGCAACCGGCGCAGATATGATGGCGACCGCAATCTCCAAGCCGGCCTCCCATACCCAGAAGATGAAGCGGCCGCCCCCGCCTTTCGGCCAGGCCGCGGTCAACGGAGTCAAGGGCCAGCACCTCTCATCTTCGCCAACATCCGCCGCAAAACGTCTTCCTACGGGTGCCTCTGTCAACGCAAGTTCCAATTTTACAAACGGCGTGGCCCATGTGGCGAGTTCCACGACTAGAGGCCCCCTTAATCGGACCAGGAACCAGTCGCAAAGACCGATGGATCAGTCCTCACGCTCTGGCCGGCCAGTAACGAGGACTGCTGCCATAGATGACGCACACCGAGTTGGGAAAAAAGCACCAGAACCATATGGTAATGATTTCCGTGACAGTCGCAATGGCAATGCGCGATCACTGACTTTCTTGTCATAGTGAAAACTACATCCTACATCCTCAAGAAATATTCGAAATGTCCTCCATCCCTTATCGTGCATTTGCATCCTACACATTTCCGATTTGAGCAGCAAGATGGTAGCTTCCCTTACAACTCCGAGATGAAGGTCATCATCGAGCACATTCGCGCCGGGACTGTTCCACATGATCTGATCGAGGAGCTTCTGCGAGGCGGTGTGCGGTTTTATGAAGGTACTTATCGGCTTTGACAGATAGTCCAATTACCCGCCTGCTAACATTATTAGGTTGCCTCATCGTCCGTGTTATCGATCACAAATCTGCTTCGGCACAAGCGAGAAAAGTATCTACGACTTCATCTAACGAGAACAACACACCATTCTCTCTACACAACTATAACGAACATGTTACCCCATCTGCTTACGTTCCATACCCAAAGCAGAATCAGCTCACCTCGGCTACGCAAGGCACCAAGGTCGATGGGACACCGACTGCTAGTCAACAGACAGATGGTCTGGCGATTGGTGACCAGGCGGACAGCAAAAGCAGCAACACAAGTCAGAAAAATGCTCCCGTGAAGCCTCGTGTATTCACCACAGTACTCCATCCCACTGCCCGAACTTTGCAGGCAGAGTTAACACTGCTGGTCACCACTCCCGACCCGAGAGCCAACAAAGCGCCAGCTCAATCAAGCTCCTCTGGCTCCTCAGCCACCCCTGGGGGCAGTCAGCCGGATCGTGGACACGTCGCGAAGAGACAGAAAATGCTGGTTGAACCGGAAGATCTTTTGGAATGCGAATCTAAAATGATACAGGCATTGGCGCCTCCTCTATTCTTGGATCCTGTGCATACCATTGAAGCCGCCCAGGAGCTGTTCAAACACCTGGAAAGCCCACTGCATTGCGACCCACCACCCTTGCCCAAGCGCCGAAAGAGAACTGTTGCCGAACTGGCCGCGGACGAAGCCTTGGCAGCCGAAGAGGAGAGATTTATGCTCATCATGGACGAGCGCCTGGAGCCCACGGCTTCTGGTCCTGGCGGTGCTGCTAAGGCTGCTGCCGTGGATGATGCGGGTGGTGTGGCACCATTCGAACCCCGATTCTCTCGCTTCAAGACACTTGAAACGATTCGCATGCAACACGAGGAGAAGGCTAAACGTGAACACGAAATGAAGCTGAAGCAAGAGTTGGCCAAGAGACAGCAGCAGGAGCAGGAGAGAGAGCGGCGCCGTGCGATCGAGCAACGGCAAGCCGAGGAACACGCGAAAGAGGAATCGCGAAGACAACAACTCGCTGCCCAGCAGGCGCAGGCCCAACTCGCTGCACAACAGCAAAACCGTCACATTATGGCCCAGCCCAATGGCGTCAACCAAGGCCAACAGTCTTCGCCTGTTGTACGTAACCAGACCCCACATACCACTTCATCACCACTGGTTGGTAACATTATGCCGCAGGCGGTTCCAATGACAATGACCGCATCTGGGTCTGGCAGCCCACCGCGACCTCCATCTGCTTTACAGCATGCGCATCCGAATGTTATGAGCCACCCGATGGCACCTTCGAGAAGTCAGCAAGGACCAAGCCGACATGGCACTCCGCAGATGACCCAGGGCACACCAGCCATGTCGCATGCCACGCCAATTATGCGTAATGTTACGCCTACTCAGCGGATGGGTCATGGCAGTCCAACTCACTCGATGGGTCAGACTCCGGTGATGAATCAGGGGATGGCACCTACGCCACAAATGAATGGGGGCATGCCCTTCACGCCACAACAGCAGATGATGCTACAACAACACCGACAGCAAGCGCTTCTTCAGGCGCAACAGCAAGGACATATGCAGCACAATCAGTTCACGCCGCAGCAGCTAGCCCAACTGCAAGCCAATGCCCACGCTCAACAAAATATACAATCTCATCAACAGCAAATGCTACAGCAGCAACAGCAGCAGCAACAGCAACAAAACCATCAGGGTGTTCCTAAAATTACCCAACAAGGCCAACAAGCATACCAGGCTCAGCTCATGCGAGCTCAATATGCGCAAATGCAAATAGTCAAGCAGCAGCAGCAAGGCCAGCACCCGCAGATGCAAGGCCAGCAACCCCAGCCACACCAAGGCAATCAGCAGATATCATCCCAGCAGCAGCAGCAAATGCTGATGGCAGCTGCACAAGCGAATGGTGGCCAAATGGGCCAAAATGGACAGCCCATAAACCAAGCACAAAGATACACCCAGCTCTACCAACAACGACTGCTTCGCATGCGACATGATATGTCGACACGGTACATGGCTCAGTACGGCCCGCCAAACCAGTATCCTTCCAATATTGCGCAGCAGTATGGTCCTGGGCTGGAAAAGACCGCCAAAGCGTGGGTCTCCGAGGTTATGCGACGCGAGCGGGATGGCGGACAGCAACAGCAGCAACAGCGGGCTGCGTTGCAAGCCCAGCAAATGCAAGCACAG